ATTACAGGTGTTCAATAAATATCTGATGAACGAATGATTGAGCTATGTGCTTTACATGCTGTCCTTTTACTTTAAAATATATTACCACACTCAAAGCAAAATCAAGCGGCTTGAGGTTTTATGGAATATTTTAAAATCTTTTCTTTTTAACAAGTGAGGAATAAATAATAATTAGTTTATCCCTAAGGGCAACTAAATGTCGATGTAACTGTATCTTCCTCAACTAACTGCAACGGTATTCAAGAGAAAAGTGTGCCTCAAACACTTTTACGCTTTCTTTACATAGCACTAAAAAGTATTCACTTAAACTATCTCTTCATCCCTGTTAACATTCTTCTGTGCCCAAAGAGCTCAAAATGTTTTTGTTTCCTCAGAAGTGATAATCACTTTCTTTAAAAAAAATCTGATTTTAAGCAAGCTAGTAAAAGCCTTTCATTCCTCTCAGCTTCACCTCCATTATTTGTTCTTAAGAAAAAAACTTGAACTTCTTCCCGTATTAGGAGTTTCATTTGCGAAAAGGAAATTATCACCTTCCCAGTTGTTTCTGCAGGTCTAGCATGTACTGGTAACACTGTGCGTAGTAGGTCATCTGGGCTTCCACAAAGTCATTCAGACAGCGGAGGTGGTGGGCCTGTAAGGAAAGGGACAGTCACCTCTTAGCTCTACAATCTACTCACAGTGGCAAACGTTACGGGAAGACAGAGCACAACCCTGTACTCAAGGCAAATCATCAGTATCCAGCATTTTACTACAAAGCTTTTTAAGATTAACCTTGGTTACAGTTTGTAGTAACAAACTGTTTAACAAAAACAAACAAAAAAAACCCCACAACAAATGGATATGATGATGGTGGGAGAATTAGGCGATGAGGTGTGAACAAAAATTTAAAATATTTCTTCGTATATCTTGGAAAGTACCACAATTTAAGTATCTTTGATAAATGACTGAAAGGAAGTTCGGTTCTCCCTCCCAGAATTTCCCTAGGACTATCAGTCTTTTGTTTTGAACGAATTTCCAATGAATGAACACTCACATGTGTGCTGCTGATCCCCTCGAGCAGAAGCCTGGTAATCTCTGCTTGACGATCAAATTCACTTTGAGTTATTCTTAATTCCTGTTCAGACTTAAATTGAAACACAGCTTTAGAATTCCAGGAGAGGACTTAGTCCATCTTATGAACATTCATTTAGACAGTTAAAAAATCCCCCAAACAAACCCAAATAATAATCGGCAATTCCCTGATTCTGCTTTGTATCTAAACTGGTCCTTGGTTTCTAGATATTAGCTTTTCTATGTTACTCAATCTAGACAGAACTGATTACTCACAGATTCCTGACTTGATTCTATTAATGCCAAAGCTTAATGACAAATGACAATGACAAAAAAGCCTAGCAAAACTACTATGACAGTCAATACTTTTTCATACATTTTTTAGCAGAAATTTTGCTAAATTTTAACATTTTACAAAATCTTAAAAGATTATCGTTTACATATAAAAACAGTATTCTAAAAAATTCTCAATTATTACTATAGTTAACTTTATTTTGGAGTTAAAAATAGCCTTCAATTTCAAATAAAAGAACTTCAGAATGACACTAGGATTTAACCTTTTGTGCTAAGTTATCCATATACTTGTCTCTAGGGACATGGTTCTCAGGTTCCTTCAAAGGATTTTTTTGGCCTATGTATATTTTTAATATGTTCTTTTCAACCTTTGCATAAAATATATCTTAAACAGAAATATTATCTGTAAGATAAGCTAGGGTTTTTCTGCAAGTTGATCATGGCCTCATTCAATCAATGGTGTGCAGGTAAACTGGCTTTCCAGGGAGGAAAAAAGCTCTAATGTGCTGATTTTCATGGTATAAGTACTCCCACCAGAGCAGATTTCAAGCTACCACGGTGAAGTCACTGATCTTAGAGCTAGAAAAAGGTGTGTGTAATAGCACACCACTGCTAGCTTCAACCATCTGATACAGGTTTAGTGTGAGTACAAAACAATTCACTCAAAAAAAAAATCAGTATGACCTAAAAATAGTAAATACTTGCAAAAAACACCTTCTCAAACTTTTAGCTAGAGTGACTGGTAGTGAGGAGGAAAAAATAGTATCTCAAAGGTCATTCAAAATAGTTGGCTTATCCCCCACTGCTAATTATTATTGGTGATAGTATCATTATAATGATATTTTCTACTACCTCTCCAGGATCAGCTGCTTCCCCCTCCCATGCAAATAATTACAGTATTTTCAAGACTATAGTAAATATAAAAAAAGAGTCTAAATTTATTCCTTTCACAGCCCTCTTGTTCTCCTTCACTGTTTGGTGGCAATAGTTAACCTAGTTAAGCAGTCAATAATGAAGCAGCAGCAAAAAAGAGAGAATCATTTGCTATAATCAGTCTCATCCCATTGGCTAAAGACCTGACAGAGAGGACCAAGAATGGACCACTAGACTGGATTTATGAAAATAAGCTTGAATTATTCAATAAGTCAAGAGTTAAAATTAAATTTACTTATTAACCAAAATTAGAATACATGGTGCTTTGATTATAGGGCTGAAGTTAGCTTCATCTGGTAGCTAGTACGTAGCAGAAAAAAGTCCCAGGAGAATAAAAGAGTCAATGTTCTCCCTAAAAAAAGTGTTGAAGAAAACCAATCACTTCAGTGTTACATTTGCACTGTTTACTGTTCTGCTTGGTATAAAGGTTTTGACTGATAGAAGTAACCATAAGCAAACCAAAAATAAATGCACTTCAGAAATAACTGAGGCTAACTCCATGTAGGTTTGATTGTGAAGGTACAATGTGATTTAACGGCCTTTAGCAGAAATGGCAGGAAAGCGTACTAAATGAGTGTTTCTGTGTAAGGCAAAAGCAAGTAACCCAGGTAGCAGATTAAAAGTGACCAGGAAGTTTGAGTCTGAAATGGAAATAATATTTTAAAGCTAAGAACGCTGAATAAAAAATATAAAATGATCTCATTAAGGATAAGGAATCAATCTTCTACGTTTGAGCAAAATTTAAACTACTTAATTGTGAACAAAGCACCATTTTACAAAGCCAAGGAAGTCATTCTTCCGTACAATCTAGACTTTATATTTAGGAAAGGTAAATGACAGGAGGGAAACCAATCTCATTTCTTGAACAAGTTTCAATGCATGTTTGGGGTGGTGGCACACAGTCTAATGCCCCAAGCCATCTCTACTTCTGACACATGTAATTGATCAATTAATCTGAGAAGCTGAGGTAACTGAAATAAGGTTCAGCATACCCAACTTACTTAGGAAGAAAATAATTCTGACTAGAAAGACAGATAATAAGGGGAGCGAGAAAGACAATGAACTTAAAGAGTTTCTATTCTGTCCTCCAGAAGAGCTCATTCCTTGACTTGATTTTACAGCTAAGACATCGAGGTCTAGGGAGAAGACCTTCTACTGCTTGGGAATACTGTCGCTCAGCTAATTGATCTACAGTGTATGACAGCATATCTTGGGTTAGAGAAGCATGGAAAGTTCTTTTATGACGTAACTTGGAAAAAGGGCAAGAATCTGTTGGTTTGTTACACGAGGACTAGGTAACCATAAGCCAGAAATTTTGTCAAGCTTCTGAGGCACTTTGCTATGACAATCTTGGTCAGTGTTACCTACGTCTTCTAGGGGCTTAAATCTTAAACTATTTCAGAAATATGAAGTTTTAAAATTATATATTTTTAAATTATAAAAATGACAGAAGTGAGAAGTATAGAAGAAAAAAAAACTCCCCAAACCCATTTTGATATATTTTAAGTTTTTTTCACATATACAAACATAATAATGTAAATATTAGTTCCATGAGTTTCTTTCCATTACATCAACTATTTTCCAAACTTGTAGAGACTGTAGAGTCAAATCAAGAAATTTTTTGGTGTACCTGTATGCTAACCAAAGCAGAGGAGACCCTGGTTTTCTTGATCAGCCTACACTCTCTCCTATGTTACTCTGCCCCCTTTTCATGCTAAAAGGCTCAGGAAGAAATCAGAGGCCAGTGCGTGCATAACCACAACTAAGCTGATGAATGGATTCCACAAAGGAGGATGAGGGCATTAAAAACAAGAATCAAGAATCTCACACTGGCTGTACACCAGAAACTGACATACTGTAAACTGACTAACTTCATTAAAAAAAATAATAAAAAAAAAGAACCTCACATTGGATTTCCAAGTCATGGAATCCATAGCTCCATAAGCTATGCATGAAACAATACTGTGTATAGTCAGCAATCATACAAGGTCAGAAAATAGAAGTTAGAAGTTTGTAAAACTATTTAATAGTCAGGGACCCGATTACCACCTGCCTTCAATCCCCAGCACTGGCCTCATCTCAAGGTCAGATTCTGGTAGGCCTGAACACGAGAAACAAATGAAAATGCTTCTGAAGACCTCAAACAGCACTTGAAACAAATCTGTACTAAAATCATAATTTTATTCCTTAAACTTGCTTGGTTATTTGCCTTCCCAGCCAAGCGAGCATTAGAAATGGGAGCACAGGCCGAGGGACTGGTAGTAGCAGGAATACGCACAGCTCCTAAAGGTAACAGACTGACACCGAGGGAGAGACAACGTACTTCAAAAACAAAGAATGGGTCCAACTGCCACACAGCACAATAATGGATATTCATAAAATGACCATAACTATAAATGGAATTAAATATATGCCATCCTGTATTTAACTTTTTACAAATATTTCCACTAAAATGACAGAAAAATTAGCTTTGGTGCTGGAGAGAACGAGCTCCCATTACCTAGGAAATTCATTTGTGTGACATGACACATTCAGTTCTCTGAAGATACAGGACATGGTGTGAACTACACTCTACGTAATTATCATATGAATAAGCTAAGTATTTAAAAGCTGTCTTCTGGCAAGGCTTTGTAAAGATCACCACTTATATAGCACGTGCCCAGCCTTGATCAGGGTGTGTGCAAACCACACCTCTGCAGCACTGTTCTACTGGCCGCTTCGTGGAACTACTGCTAGCCAAACAGACCGGAGCTTTCCATCATCATCTTCAGCTTTTGTAAGATACGGTAACAAAGACTGACTGGCCCCACGGTTGTTGCCCGATAAATATTTACTGAATGAAAAGACAATTAAGCTCTTGTTTCATAATTCTGTAGTTTAATAATTTACTTACTTTTGTCACTTCCTCTGCCCAAATCTAGCCAGCATTAAAAATTAGAGAAAAATACAGAGCATGAAAGAAAGTTGGAATTTAACATTTTCTACAACTTCGTATAGAAAAATGTGAATATTTTAATTCAAATGGTATACTCCCCTTTTCTAGAATCACATTAACAGGTTAAATGCAGTAATACCTAAATCATTAGAGCTTACTGTGTGTGCTGTGAAAGCACGCCTTCACATGTATCAATACTATTGAGTTTTGAATCTTATACTAATTCTATAAATTAGTAAGTTTTCCAAAACTAGGAATAGTTAACCCCTCTTAGATCTAGTTTTCTCATCAGTAAAGTGAGAGGTTTAGATTAAGTGATTTCTAATTTCTCATTTAGGCCCAACATTCTACAATTATAGGAAGTTAAAATAAAGCAAGGATAAATGGACACTGAATGTTGATACAGCCATTTGGGAGGGAGGGCACAATAAACTTGAAATATTACGAACTTAAAATTACCAGAGTTAAGTACATCTTACTGTAAGTAGATGACATTAAGTGGTAAAACAAATGCCTAATAAATGAAACAAAGTCTTGCTAATTGTTTAAGATATTTTTACCTAAGATGAAAAAAATGTATGATTTAAACACTGTTTACCAATAACTGAAACAGCCTCACACTTTTCAATTATCTACATACAGATAGGACAATGAAAATAAATGAATGCATTCTCTTGCTATCTGAAGAAAGCCTTAATTTAGCCAGGGCTCCAATAATTATAGCAGTTAAAAAAAATGTATTTTACGTAGTCTGTACAATAACTTTTCCCATTACATAGTTCCCCCCTCTTTTTAGTTCAGTGCTTATGAAATAAAAGCATTCAACTGATTCAACAAATAAGTACTGCCAATTATTTATCACTTAATACTGCAGATTCTGTGCTCCCTCTATGAAAGTAATACACCCAGGAGTATCACATCAAACACTGTATCTATAAATCTTTACTGGCTAACATTTATGAGTTCTGGGGCTATGTTCAGATTTTACTAATTTCTATTTTGTTAAAAAATTAAAAATTCCTAGCATCTCAAAAATTTCCTCAAATCAAGGTCAATAATACACAAAGGATACTACAGAACAATTCTTACTCCCAATTCTTGCTCAAGGCTATCACTATTCTGCAACTTTTGTGAGTGAATTAGCACTGGATAGGCCTCAACAATACAAACTTACGTAAACCACTTGTCTTGGCCTGAAATTGCAGAAGAAATGAATTTGATCTTAAGTTTGGGTGAAAATTAAAGTAAACATTAAAGGTATTGAGAAGCGAAGTAAACTTGTACATCTTATACATTTCTCTAAGTTAATTTTGATAATTTTCTTTGCCAAAAGTGAAAATATTAAGTGTCAGCTACACTAACATCTTTTATCCTGTAGAAAAGGCATTATATATTTATGTACAAATTCAGATTTTTAAAATCTGAATTTGGCATAGCTGATATACTTGGCAATTAGAACACACAATTTCTTTTCTTCAAGTTCCAATATTACTTCAGCTAGTATTCTCTGCATTTTTTGTTAGACTAATGAATGCATGGCTTCAATTACTTTAGACTTTTACATGCAGATAATAGCAAGAGAAGGCACTTTATTTAAGATGTAGAAAACACAATAGGCCAACAAACCTTCAGCCATTTTACATGCAGGAAGTTGAGCATGTAAGAGAAATTTACCATAATGTTATCTCCTTCAAGGCGAGCTGAGTTTAGTTGCTTAAGTGCATAGGTAAGAGACAAAGAACACATTATACCAATGAACACAGTGAAACAAGTTACTTCTGCACAATAAAGAACACACAAACTAGTATTAAAAGAGCTGATAAAATGGTTTTCTACTTAAAAAAAAATCCAACTATGGTATTCCATGTAGTGGTGCCTATTCCATTTTTTCAAAAGTTTCAAATTTTCAAAGATAAAAAACACGGTTGATGCTTGATTTTAAGTTAGAATCATTTAGGGAAACTGCATCACTTTAAAAACTGCCATGGTTATCTAAATTTTCATTCAAATTTTCACCTATGGAAGCCCTTCAGCCTACCCAAAATTTCCCTATTTAAAGATCACTTCTTTTTTATTAATGTATGATGCTTTCAACCATATTGTCTTTCAGTCAGCCTCAGCCAGATCTTGGCATACCCTGAAGAAACATGAAAGGCGTGTCAATTCTCGTATTTTTAACAAACTTTAAATTCTAACATGTGTACGTTAAAGTTCACTCAGTTTACAGATTAAAGACATAGCTACTGTGGAAATGCTTAATTAACTGGGCAGGGGGACACGTTTGTTATGCTACCTGAAGCTGTATTTTCCATCATGTTTGGATACCCAAAAGTCACAGAGGTCTAAGCCTCTCAGTATCAGAGAGCTTTGAAATCAGATGATTTTTCTTCTTCCCATTAACGATACTCCAAAATAATTTTTTAAAAGTTTACACAAGATTAAGACAAGTTTAACAAATGTCAATGCCTTAAAATTTAAATGCAGAAGCTATATTTGTTTTTGCTTCTCTGTTGGGAGTTTTATACTATTTTCAAAACTGTACCTTTGTTCACTGTAAACTATTCAAGTAGGTTTTCTCTTTTCTGCTCAATTGGTATGTTTTTGAGAAATGGCTTGGATGTTGCTTTACCATTCTTCAACATGCTGACTAATAAAACAAATTAGTCAAGTAGAATATTGAATACAGGAATAATATTTTACTGATAGGGCTAAATCACCAAAAGATTCGATCTACTATACTAGATTGTAAACCGAGGGCAGAAGAGATTTTGCATTACTTATATATGAACTCCTCCTCAGCAAAGCACCTTGTAAAAAATTAGCATTCAGTGAATCTAGAATTTAAAAACAGGTCACAGGAAACTAGTAAATGAATTTTTTTTAAGTGCTAATATGCACAGGTTCCAAACCTTACTTGCATAGGAATAACTAGTCATAAAACAATCTGAGAAAATTTATAAAGAAGTGAAATCAAAGAAAGTCTGAGGTTTGAGTAACCTCTTCAGCTGCCAACTAGAAGCAGGGAATGTGTCAAAAAGAAAAAAAAGCAAACACAAACTCCAAGTATTTCCAATTTTTCTGTATTCAAGTAAATGGAAGAGAAATACAGAAAAAAGGGGAAAAAATCACAAAATATAGGCATGCCTCAAGGCTTTATGTAACAACAAATTAAGAGGATTTTTTCCTTTCCAAAGTATTTCAGACATACTGCTATAAAGTTTGAAGAAAAACAAGCTGATTTTCTAGAGGGAAAGAACACAACTAAAATCAGAAAATGTGAATCTTTGTCTAGACTAACATTATTAAATATTTGGTAATAGTTCAATTTTGTTTTATGCAATCTATACATTCTAGAAAAGCTGTGTATAAATAAAATTGTTGAAAAAAGTCACTTGTATAATCTTTCATTTTTATTTTAAATGTAAATTCTCATGGAAAAAAATTTGTCCTCAACAATACATGGCACAGAAGAACTGTCATGATCTTTTCTATATATATCAAAATTTGTCCACTATGATGTTTGGTTCTTACACATTTTAATAGCAGTGGTAAAATAATTTAGCATAATAGTAAGACCTTGTATAGTATTAAATCTATAACCTTTCTGGCACTTTTACAAGTGAAAAAGCAGACCACCATTATTCTGTAACTGCTCGTTAAAGGAAGTGTTGCAATGACACTTGACAGTAGGTATTCTTTTCCCACAGTCACTGGGCGTATGGTAAGCATTTCAAATAAAGAGACTCTGTTCTAGTGCAAACATTTATTTCCAAATGATCCTCATGACATTTTTCCTGATTATGAAATTAGTATCTTAAAAACCAATTCTTATTTTACTATATAAGTTTATTATTAGCAACTTAGAAATTTATATCCTAATTTAGTCTCTTGCATCTACAATGTTCATTTTAAAGTTCTGATTCTGCAAAAAGCCTGTTTAGGGAAGTTGGGCTGTTCTTTATGATGATGTCATGATAAATTCTGAGGTGAATTAGCCAGAGATTTTGAAATTGATGTCTTGTTAAAGATGGCTCTTCTTTAGCAATAGCTAATATAGAATCTCCAAAAGGGGAACTGTCTAGAAGAAAATAACTTATTCTGCTTATATAAGGTGTTGGAGTATTTCAAAAGACATCACTGTCCAATACCAAGTTACCAGTTTTAAATTTCCACTCTAAACCAAGTCTCAACCTTTTCTTTTCCAAGACAAGAGAGCCACAATAGACTTCTACCAACATTGTGGTGATGTGCTCCTAAAGCAATGATTCTTGATGGTAATAGTGGTAGTGAGTTGGGAACAGAAGGCAGTGGGAATGTCATGTCTCTTAACAAAACATATCCCTTAGCTCAAATTAAGAATGAACTTGTTAACTTCCTCTAATAAATTCAGACTTATTTATATTGTACTGCCTTAGAAGTGTTCCAATTCAAGTCTGATTAATCTCTTCTATGAAAAAGAGACACAAACAGTATAAATATTACATTAAACAAGCTTATAAAAATCTTTAAAGTTATAATATATATGTGTGTGTGTATATATACATATACACATGTGTGTGTGTGTATGTGTGTGTATGTGTATATATATATACATATATATAAATCATTGAATTACTATACTTACTATATACCCATTCTGTTTTAAAAAACTATTTCTAGGTTGATTTTATGAAAAATATAACAGAACTTATTTATCCAAATGGATTTCCTCCCTTTCAAAACAGCCACTTGAGACTCCATGCTGCCACTGTCTGAATGGTCTGGAACTATTCTTGGTGACACTTCCTTTAGTCATTTTGAGTCACATGTGGAAAGAGAGTCATCTAATTTTGAAGCTACAGACAAGCATTCTGAAACAATTCATTTTCACCTTAATTACTACTTGTTTTTCTATTTCAAATATAATAAATCTTTCTCCAAAAGACTTATTTGCCATCATCATTATTATTTAAAAAGCATTACACAGCTTTAGGAGCTCTTGTAATTTTTTATTTTAGCAACAGGTATATCACTGAAAGACAAATATTGCCTCTTGATATGACTACTTTGCACTAAATAAGTTCTGATCATTAAGTTTGTTTAAAAACACAAAACAGTACACTAAAGTCATATTATAGTCTTAATGACAGCCTGTAGTTTGCATAAAATCTTTTATAAGTTCTAAAGTTATTAACCTAAAATGTTTTTCTAGTAAAAAACACTACTTACTGAAGCTCTTGTTTCTGCAGCTTTTGCCTTTTTTAGTCTGGTTTTTGCAGCATCCAAATCCAGTCTCTTATTTTGTAATAGTTTTCTTTCTTTCTATAAATATAGGAAAGAAAAATAAAAGTCTAATGATGCTAAAATCCAGGAGGAACAAATACATTTAAAGTATTATTTCAAATGAATCATCTGATAAGCAAAGACCTATGATTACAGATGGCTATAAAGTGGCCATTCAGGTTTCCTGACTCCTTTTTCTCACTATTTCCAATTTTAAAATGACAGACATTCTAGATATCTGGTAGAAACAAAGGAATATTACTTTTAATATTTTGTGATTTTTGCCCCCAGGGCACACCTGGTAATTATCTTCTTGGCTGTCACAACCAGGGGGAGGGATGTTACTGGCATTTACTGGGTAGAAGCCAGGGATGCTACTAACCATCCTACAGTGCAGTATAGCTTCTAGAGCAAAGAATTATTCCACCTACAATGTTAGTGGTGCTCAGGTGGAAGAGCTATTTCAGTCTGTACAGATAAGCTAGAAAGTGCCTTTGGTGAAAGAGGCAGGGGCCCCAGGGCAAAGCTCCTTTATAACAGGTAAGTTTAAAAGAATTCACTGTTTGCTTTATTAATTGTTAGATTTCACATATCAAATTTCATCCTACTGACAATCTAATATTTTTTCAATCATATTTTATCTTTGTGGTTTTCCCTTTATCTCAGGTCAACTACTTTTTATTCAGAGACAAATTCACTGTAAACATATTTAGCTTCTACAATGTTTTGTAATAGAAAATCTGCAAATTAAATTTGAAGTAGTATTCACAATAAAGAGCAGTCTTGGCAAAAATCTTAGGAAAAATATATCCACCTAAATCTCCTCTCCATCACTTAAAAAACAAACTACACTGAAAATAAAGCCTAATACAGCTACAATGTCATTAATAAGAGGGCAAATTATTCATTAAAAACTATAAATATATATCTAAATTATTTTAGTAAAAAATGAACATTTTCCAACTCACAGCAATTGTTTTGTAATCTCCTTCTATAAAGTTTCTTAAAGGAGTGAGGAAATTTAAGGCTGATGTTTGTATCAGCTCTCTGTCTGCAGTTCCAATTCGTTTTTGTGTTTCTCCACATTTAATAAGGGCATTACCTGCAAAGGAGAAAAGTTTTTTTTTTTTTCTAACCATTATCTGGTAATGTCAGAATATAAAATCATGTTAAGATAAATTAGCAATTTGATCTACTTTAAAGTTAGCTGTTACTTGTTTACTTAAGTAAAAGTCAAATAAAATTAACTGTAGTTAAGGTAGTTTTACTTCGAAAGTAAACTTAAGATTATAAATATCTAAATAAAATGACAAAGATGAAATCCTTATCATAGTTACTTGTACCAATTCTACCAATGGGGCAAAAGAGGACAGATACACTAAAAAATATTTATGGTCACAGCTCAAATAGCGTGGGTATGTTCTATAAGAGTATAATGCTTAAAATATGTTAGTAAGTAGATGAAATCAAAAATTTTTGTTTCTATATTTATGCACTTATCTCAAGTGTCTATAAATTGTATATATTTGCATCTTAAGTTAAAAAAAATCCATGTTTTATAGCACATATACCCTAACATTTGAATAGGATAAGTTCAGTGGAAAACAGACTAAAAGAAAGAGAACCACATGCCTGGTTCTCCATCTAGTTCTACCTTTAATAGTCTCTAGTTCTGTGGATCTTAATGCCTCCATGTTAGACTGAGATTAGAGCGGATTGGTAAGGGAGGTAATAATATAATGTAATAGTTAAGAGCTCAATTTCTGGATACAGATCTACATTTGAATTACTAGCTGTGTGATCATGGATGAGTTATGTAACCTCTCTAAGACTCAGTTTCCTTGTCTTTACACAGATATCAGAATTTACATTACAAGTAGGATTTAAGTGAGGATTTACTGAATAAATCTATTTGTTATACAGTGCTTAATCCAATGCCTGAAATACTCAATTGTTAGCTATTATCAATTACTATATAAATAGATTCACAGAGCTCAATTCCAATAATCAGGGTACATTCAATGGAATTATCAGATGTGCAAACAGATTAAGCATACTAAAAAGGAAAAAACTTAGAGGCAAATGTTCATGCTCTACTTGGCCTTCGGCTTGGGTCTCTGTGACACCAGCATCTGAGTCTGCTACAAGCAGGCGATAACAAGTCTGTTCAATGTATTAGGTTTTTCTAAAATGATAGATAAAATCTAGAAATAAAACTATAGAAATTTTAAGCATTTTCAGACTTCTGAAAGAATTACATTCTGAAGAACACAATGTAAAAGATTCAAAGTTACACATCTATACGCTGCCAGTCAAGGAATTAATGGCATTCATTACACAGTACTTAGGTTATTTCCTTTTGACATAAAGACTACTAAAACCTAAAGTTCATTTAGTCTCAGAATTTTTGAGCTCTTTCATAAATCAGGACTGTGTGTGTAGAAAATTATTTAATTTACCTATCATTTCAAATCCAAATAAGGACCAATCTCCCATGGAAGTCTTAATAAGAAGAATTATTTTAGTCATGAACAAAAGGAAAAAGAAGCCATATAAATCTGAAATAGCCTTATGTTCTGAGAAAATTAGATTTGAGGGATAATGATGTATAACTGAGCTTCAGAGTTATCCATTTAAAGAGTCACTATAGCAACTAACAAAGCTAGCATAACTGTAAAATATGATTATAGAAAATTTAAACTATGAGGAAAATAGAAATAAAATGTCACCCAAACATCCAGAGATAACTACTGTTAACATTTTTGTGGCACTTTTATTAGTTATGTAATGAAAGCGCTAGTGATTTGTTCAAACACTTAGTATGTGCCAGGTGTTTTATTACAGAAATAAGTAAGTCCTCAAGAAAGCTTAAAAACACAACCACCACCACCAGAGGAGAAAAATATCAACAAATTGCAATATATCACAAGTACAACAGAGGTGCTGCAGGATTCAATGGAAATACAAGTGAAGAATTTGACTTTTTAGACCTAAAAGATAATGTACATTCTCAGAATAACGTATCTTAAATACATTAAATACTCAATCGTACTTATTTAACGTTCACCTACATTGCTCGCTTCATCCAAAATTTTAACATGAAAATTTTGATTTTGTAATTGATCTTCCTAATATTAGGTAAATGTTAAGGATACCTTTACTTGTGGATTTTTACTACTGACAGACATCTCTTAGCAGACCTTTTTGCCTTTCACTTACCATAAGCTGTTCCTGGGCCAAACTCAGTCCCTGCATCAATCATATATTGTCCCAAAAGTTCCGGGTTGTTTATACGACTTGGAGCTTTTCTATCCAGTTTCTCATAAACAAATTCTTCTATCCTGGCATCTAGGAGGAATGTTTCAAATTACTGATGATTTTAAAAAGCAAAACTATTTAAAAGATTGTTTTGTTCTATTAGCCATTTATCACCTTATGAAATAAATAAGAAATTAGTATGCTTTCTAGTACATACCTTAATATATAATTTTTTTCATTTGTATGTTAGAGTATTATATAGCTCTAAGAAACTTGTAGAAATCTGATAAAACATTTTGGCACAAAAATACTTTAAAATATAGTAAAACTATTATGAGTATTTTATAGGATTTTAAGTTCCAGAAAAGGATTGGTACTCATTTACTATCTAGTGAATTTGCCTCTGCCCCATTCATATAATGTCTAACTTTTCATGTATGTTCACAATTTTAAAATCAGGGATTTCCAGTTATAAAAATATGCCTTTAAGGCACCTAAAGAACCAAAAGACTCACATACTTTTGATGCTATTATTGTGCTTTTGTTTGCTCACATACTCAGTTCTCCCTCCTAGGGACTTAATATTGGGAGTTTAAGGAAATGAACAATCCAGGCTTGGAATAGTCTACAGAGATTAGCAATATGATCCCTTGGCTTAATTTTATATAATTAAGCTTCAAGTATATCTGAGCATGTAGTCACTTAAAAAATTTCACCATTAAAAATAAGTTTAAAAAACAAAAAGTTAAAAGCAATAATAGAAATTAGCATAAATGGGAAGGAAAAAACATTGGTAAAATCCAAATAAACACTTGGTTACCATAATATTTAAGAAATTTACATTTACATTGTTGCCTAACAATGAGGTATTTCAGAGACAAATAAGAAAAAAGTCAACGTTTCCAGAAATGATGATTAAACATACACATAAATTAAAATTACAATCCAAAAAGAAGTAAGTTAAACAGGTTCCTTCTAAGCATCTTACAGAATTCCTCCACAAGAGAAAGTCTCACATAATGTATTGCAAATATCAAAAAGAAGCTGAGCCACTAACAGAAACACTTCAGGAAACGGCAAAAGTGTTAATTATAATACATAAAATAGGCTGTTGGAACAATACTTGCTTTTGTGGTAAACTCTGCTGCAGCACCAGAAGAGCTTTTAAGGAGGAATTTAAAAAACTTTTATATTAGTTAAAACCAAAATGAATCAGTTAAAAACATAACCACTCAGAAGATGTTAACTAAATTTAAGAATTTCATTTTCTGATTGTGAGAGTGATTCTTATCTTTGCTGCTTGTCTACTTATTTAATCTAAAGTTTAAAGTTGAATCCCATGTTGATTTCATTCAGTTAAAAAATTGGTGTATTTAAAATAAAGGTTTCATTTCACCAGGGCATCAACAGGCCATAATAAAATCTTAGCAAAAAATGCAGGCAATTAATCTACAACGCAATATATGTTTCTGAAAAACCCTAGGTTCTGGAAAATCATACACTAAAAGTAACAGGCTTATAGGAAAAAAAACGTTGGGTCTTTTCTCTCAAAATCTGTTAACTTTACAATGAGAGCACAAATAAAACACAAAAATAATTCTGTTTCTACTTCAGACTTAAAACAGTAATGCAAAATTTTATATAAGCCACTGTAACTTCTTCTTTCCACTGATACCATTCCCGTTCACCAGTGAGCTGATCTGCCACTCACAAAAACATACTGTAGAATAGACTACATATTTGAGGGAAATATGGATAGAGCAAAGAACAAAAGAAAAAACATCTACTACTTTCTTTCCTTTTTTTTTCTTTCTTTCTTTCTTTTCTTTTAGGCACCATGGTATGTAATTTAAGTAGCCTTAAATGAGTAAGAAATAACACATGGCATCCAAAGACAACAGGCCTCACTCACAGTGTAAAAGGACTATTTTAAAAAATCACCACAATTTAACTAAAATGGCAAAGAATTACGAATATTTTGTACAGTCCTTGAGGTTTATGTAATAGCAACAAAGTTTAAAGCTTGGAACTTTAAATTAGTACCTGAAAGTTACTGAAAGCATTTCACAACATGGTCACAGTACCACTGAGGGGCAAGGGGAAGGAGAGCAGGCGTTGTTACTGCTGCCTCTGTCCTTCAGTTTTGATATGTAAAGCTCAGTGAAAAGACTGGGTTTTCCCATGTATATTCATACATATATAGTTATTTATATGTAAATACACCTGGTTCTAGTTCAAGTTCCACTTTTAATTAGATATGCCACATTGAACAAAATGGCTAACTTGTGAGTTTTAATAAACAATCATTGTATACCTTATTTGGAAGGTTATTGAGTTAGGTGACCTGAAAAGCCTTACCATGTTGTCTGAAAATCAAATGGAATAATTTATGTAAAAATAAAACTTCACATAAATAGTTGGTAACTAAGTTTTTATATAATTTTTCCTTGATTATTTAGGGATAATTCTTCCCTGGTTGAGAAAGGAAGATTAATTTATCTTTGCAGTCCTTCACAACTCTTCAAATTCAAAGTTGTTGCCTGAAATTGAGCTTTCAAGGGGATTCTACAAAGGTCTGAAAAACGTTATTTGTCAATTTGTTAGAGGGTACACAACGAAGTGTATGTCACCCTCTTCACAAAACACACACATACAAAATAACTAGACTCCAAAGGCATAAACAAAAAATGTTTTCCAATAGACATTAAAACTTAAAAAGAACCCCAACATTTAAAAATCTATTAACAGTGCCTTTTAATAGGATTAGTCAATAATGTACACAAAAGGTAAAAAGTTTCTTACTTGGATTTGGCTGCAATAACACTTCAGTTTGTTTCATTATTTTTTCTGTCCATATTTTGGTACATTCAGCCTTGCTAAGGAGGTTCTCTAAGTGAGCATCCAATTCTGTCTTCTCTGCCTGGCCAAGCTTTTCTTCTGTGAACTGTTATTGATTACACATTAAAAAAAATTAAATATACCCCAAATACATTTTAGGAATTATATCAATAATTAAAAAGAAAACTCAAATCCAAACAACCCTGGACATATAATTGTAAACTGTCACATATGAATGCCACTTTTTTTGTCCCTCTGGTAGTTTATCCATACCTCCTTTGCGGCACTTAGGATAATCCTATCCCATAGTTAATAGAGCTCCTTAGTTCTGCTAAAATGTCTGGTGTGAATGCTATAGAAAGTTCAGCATACTGCCCTGTATATACAGTATATAAATTTCTTACATGTAAAGGTAGACAGCACAGTGGTAAGGAGTAAAATCTTTGAGTCTGCTGGGTCTGAATTCAAATCCTGATTGCACTGCTAACTGTGTGACTTGAGTAAGCATTTGAATATTTTTTCCTTAGGTATCTTCTATTACAAAAGACAGACAATACATATCTTACAGTGCTTTAAAAATTAAGTAAGGGTATCTATGTAAATCACTTTGTTCAGTGTCTCGTAACTACTATTCAGAACTTAAAAAGGGCTGTGTATGCTTAACATGGCTTTGCTTCACTGGCACTTTAATCGCACCTGGTTTAGACAGGCTTTTATAGGATGTTCTGGAAAACTATCATTTAAGCTGTTTCTTCAAAATATGTTTCAGTAATTGTTTATAGACTAATTTTTGGAACACATCCTATTCATACTACAGAGGCATCTTTTAAAGATCACAAAATGTAGTTAAATATACTCAACATATCAATTTTTATTATCTTGAATGTACTGGTTTTTGAAGAAAGGCAGTATTGCCCATACAATAACAAAGAGGTAAAATATTTCTGTGTAGATTTTATAGAGACTTCTGGACACTTTTAATTAAATACTAGAAGCAATGACTCAGGCTGTTTATCACACATAATTTTCCTTTAGAGTATGTGGTTCCCCCCATTGTAACACAGGTAAGTCACTAGCACTAACTCTATACTCACTAGTCATGACTCATTTCTGGCTAACAAAATATAATGTTTACCTTGCTTTTTTTCTCTCTCATTTCTTAAAGTATCTTCTGCACCTCTATTTTTCTGAGTTTTATTATCTGTTTCTTTCAGTATCCTTCTTGGTCTAATACTTTCAATTGATTATCAGTTAGCACTTTTTGCTGAAAGGTCCTTAAGAATGTTATTCTTAGACTTCTGGTACAGCCCCCACTGAGGGTCTTGTTCAAGGCCTAGAAACAACAGCTTCAACAGCTTTTGTAAAGCTTTAGTTCTTTTAGAGACTGGTCTGTAGCCAAGTTCTGACCCAATAGGTGGGACTGAGAATAGCAGTTCCAAAGCTATTGCCTAACCCATAAACTTGCAGTGTATTGTAACTGAGGATAGGAGGGGCATCAGATAAAAGATCAAAACCCAGATCGCAAGGTCAGCTGGGTAACTATGCAATCTAATTCTTAAGAGAGAATGCTGGTATTCTTTGCAGATCCCTAAAAATTCTAACAAACAGACCTCCCAAAGACACACATTAGAATTTTACATGTTTGAAGTCTACCTCCCATGCTTAAATAGATTATCTCCCAGATAAAGCAACCAACAGGACAGAAAGAAAGGAATATACCCAAGTGAATATCATCTATAAAGATGATCTACCAGTAGAGAAAAATTCTTCACTTAGCTCCTTAGTAAGAAAGTATGTCTATTTTTTCGTTCATTTGTTCCTTCAACAAATATTTATTAAGCACCTGCATATGGGTTAGGCATTATTCTAAGCATGTGGGTTTCAGCAGCCAAAACACAGACAAGGCTTCTGCTCTAAAGAATCTTAGAGTTTAATAGGGAAGACAGACAACAAACAAGTACATAAATAACTTGACAATAAGGATATAGAGATAAAAAGATGGTGGAGAGAGGACCAACATAGGTGGTCTTACTGTCTCTTGATCCAGTGACTGAATGATTAACTGAGTGAATCAATGTATTCAAGTGTAGGGGAAGGAAGAGCCCCTTCTGCAGGTAAAGTGGGGAGCAGGAGACTTAGAGAAGGCTTCATAACGGGAAGGATTTGCAATCTGGGCCTGGAAGAGGGAGTGAGAGTTTGAGAGTATAAGATGTGGATGGTTGGAGAAAAAGCCTCTCTGAGCAGGTAACGACTCGCCTGAGACTGATAAGAAATGAGCTACCTAAAGACCTAAGGGAAGAGTATGGAGTCCTCTGACCTAAATTCCAGTTGTAATTCTAGAGGATCGTAAGCACCACTTTTATGCATATTAAGTATTAAGTGTTTTGTAGACATTCTTAATTTATATATAACAACCAAAAACAGATTAGTACAATTATCAATAGGTTCACAATTTAAAAATCAGTATTTATTAAGTTAGTCATTGTGCAAGGCACTCTGCTAAGAACTAGAAGATATGGTCTCTTTTACAGGAGAGCTAAATGAAAAATATTTTTTATATGAACAGTATAAACCTACAGGTCAATTTTTTTTTTTAGTATATGAAGTCACACACTATTTAATGGATAGTTTAGAAAAGCACTAGAATTAAAGGTATAGGCTAGAAATTACTTAAAAGATGTTTATAAACACTGATTAAAGAAATAGTCACTGAGTTTATCTTACACTAGGTTAGGTTTTGGGGCAAGTTTTCTCCAAAAAATATTTCAGACCAACAATTAGTTAATTATTTGGAAAATAAAACTTTTCAATCTTCAGGTCAAAAGGCCTGTTTGTGTAATTATTTAATATTTTCTTTGTGATTCTCATGACATTACCTTACTAGTATCTCATTTTTTAAATTTAGTGAAAAAAGACAAAGCGTGTCAATGTGTAACAGAGCAAAGCTGAATATTTGCAACAAGCCATGTACTTATATGAGTCTGAGCAAGGAACAGAAAATATGTGAAACAACCAGAACAGTAAGGACCCCTTAAGTATGAGTGAGACAGAGTCTGGTTATAGATAGAAAATAGTTGTTCTGTAGGAAGGCCCACAGGAGCAATGTATTTAAGTACCAGTAATAAAATCTACCTGATGTTTACTTGCACTTTCTGATACTGAAAAACAATTGTTGTGCATTTTACATCAAATAGTAAAAAAAAAAAATCTTGTTATATAGGTAAGAATCGTAACTTTAGTGATGAAGAAGTTGAGGTTCAGAATGGTTTAAAATTTTCTCAGAGGCTTCAGTGTTGGGATTAAATTTCGTATCTGTTTGAATCATACTTTTATTACACTATACTAGCCTTCTAGTAAATACTTGATTTCAAGCAATTAATATTTTCTATCACCATTATCTAAATATAGTCTGTGCTTCCTTGCCCCAGTGTCTCTGTTCATAGTACTTCGGTTAGCTGTACCCTACAGCCCACCTCTGCTTCCTACATGATATTCAATCATCATCAAATTAAGGGCAACTTTAATCCTAGCTAGAATAAACCAAAAAAGGGAGGGAGATTTAAGAGCATTGCTAATGTTATCATGTATTTAAGTTGAAATTACAAATTTAAATTTTATTAAATGAATAATTGTAAAAGACATATTTCCCATGATTTTATCATTGTAGGGACTTAAGGATTTTTCCCTTGTTAATCACAAGGTTTGACATGTTAAGATAACAGATAACTTACAGAAAATGATGAGTTATATCAACTAAATTAAGAATTACTAATCAACGATATTTACAGAGAACACATTTTTTCTTCTGCTGTTATGTGAGATATATAATTAGCATATGACATGGTTCTTGCCCTCAAGGATTTTATGATCTTGACAACATCACCTAACCACAAATACAAAATTATAATAATGGTATATTTTTCAGAAGGACAAAAGGCTTACTCTTTCTTCAAGAAAAAGAAAAGGATCCCTTTCCTAATTAAATTTTACCCTAAAAATTTTAGTTTTCAACATCTTTAAGTCCAAAATCATTACTGACTTTGTAGTCTCTTGGTGATAATAGCTGTTTATTATAAACCACAGTTGATTTTAAGCATGTACTTTAATGAATATACAGTCACACTATTTAACAATTATATTAAAAACTTTGGTGAAAACAAGCTACAATGAAAGTCAGAATGTAAATAACTAACTCATAGAAATCCAAACCCAATGTTCTCTAAAATGTAATCTCTTGTACTACTCTTTCATAATGTTTCATCAGTAATACAGTAAAATGACTGGAGAACAGGAAGTTTTATCTTTTCTATTTTCTCTAACATTGCTTTAAGAAAAGGACTGTCTTTGAGCCAGCCACATTATGCCAGGCACTGTAGTCCCTCCTTTACTGTAAGATAGGCATGTAGCCTACAGTAGGAAATAAGGAGCCTGGATTCCAAACCCTGTTTTACTAAAAAAAGTTAAAAGGCTGTGTGATCAAAAATGTCTATTTAATATAAACTCTAACCATCAATTCCTTGGGTAAAGTAATAGTTTAAAAGTAACCTAAACTTCTTGGGAATAAATGTATAATACAAATTCTGAATGTATTAGTAAACAGTAAAGTAGATTCTTCTCAACTGGTTCTCAGTTTTGGCTGCCCTTTGGAATTACCTGGGGGAGCTTTCAAAACTACTCATGCCAAATCCAATCCCAAAGATTCTAATTTAACTGGACTGAGGTGCAGCCTGTAAAGGTTCCTCAGGTAAAATTAAGTGTAGCTAAGACTAAAAACTACTGTTCTAAGTTCATACATAGTTATTTTAACATTAGGTTAACAATCCATCTTCTATCTAGTAGTTTACTAACTTAGCACCGAAAGCATCAAAGGATGTGAACACAATTTTGGTTAACACTAAATACGCAGATTTTTTACAGAATGAGAAAATGTGTGGACTCTGAATGCAATACATTTATTAAAATTTCAGAGACAAGATGAAGTTACTGCAGTTTAAATTATATAAAAGCAACAGAATTACAGGAGGGCATGTGTTCAGACAAGTTGGCATTCCATCCAGATAGGATCTGACAGGAGCTGATGAAGCCCAGCATCATATTCATTTCTACATGTCCAGCTTAGACACATCATTGTACTTGCAAA